CAGGTTGTTCATTTGGGTTACATTGGAAGAAAAAATACTCATCTTCGTTTATAGAAGTCGAGATTTTTGTGGTCAAAGGAGGTGGGGATCGCCTGGTTTCTGTGGTAAAATTAAATGCTAAAATGGCTGCCAAAGTTTGGAGGCTTTCAAAGTTTCAGTGTACATTTGTACTTGGAAACTGTAAATTTACGAGAGGGGGAGGGGTGCCTTTGATGAACATTTTCAGTATAATTTGTACAGAAATATGGAGTTTGTTTCCCTAAAATACAAAAACCGACAAAAATTCCATAACAGGCGGAAAAATGTCAGTTTTTTCGATTTCAATATTATGGCGGGCGTCTGGTTTCACCACAATGCCACACATTTGATCTATTCGTACTTTGTTTTGACACTTGCTTACTTACTTTTACATTTACTTTTTCCTTCCTCTGGTATCCTTAGAATGTCGAGGGGAGGGGCATGTTTCGGTCCTGTACTAGGTGTGTAGCGCCTGTTATAGATATGTTGTTCCAGGACCTTTTTAACCCCATCCAGCAAGATCTTTTTTGGTCTTCCTCTTGATTTGAAACCGGATTCACGGGTATGGTAAGCTCTAGCCGCTAGTTGTCTCTGGGGCATTTTGGTTAGATGTCCGAACCATTTGACTCTTTGACGCTCTATGAAATCTATTACTGGTGGTATTCCGGTTTGTAGGCGTATGGTCTCGTTCCTTACTCGGTCTCTTCTGGTGACGTTGATTGTTTTGGCACTTGCTACGGCACACAAATTATGCGTTCAATCCTCTTTTAAGCCACAGGATTATTGTCAGCTGTCTAGTGTCTAGTGAGGATAGGACACCAAACATTTTAACAACGCTACCAACCAGTAGCGACCCTCAAGTGATTTGATTGGATGAGTGAAACAAACAGTATCACTATTTCCAAAGTCTGGTCTCTCTATATGATGAGAGTGAGAAGGGGGTATGTGTACCACGCTCAGAACAGCCTGAAGGAGCAATACTAGGCGACACACGCTAACAAAAACCCAAAACAAAACAAAAGAACCCCCATCCGAAAACAATAACAAACAAACAAACAAACAAACAAACAAACAAACAAACAAACGAAGAAACAAACGAAGAAACAAAAAAAAAAACAACAACAAAAAACCCATTTACTCACAAAAGTATGGCCGCTGTCACAATGCAAGCACCCGCCATGAGCATGAACACTGAGCCCCGGAAGTGATTCATCGTGACGTTGTACACCAAGTTGTAAGTTGCTACGGACGCCATGGTCGACACAGACTGGACCACCGACATACCGGAGAACAGGGCGCCTTGACAACGAGTGGGATTGAGCAGGGGAAAAAAAGAGAGTGTGAGGGAGGGTGTTTTTGTGAGTGAGTGTGTGTGCGTACATTGGGGGTGG